AGGCTTCTGCAGTTTAACCCACAGCGCCACCACGTCCTTGATACCCTGATAAGGGTAGATGATGGATATGCTTTTAAGCTTTTGTCTCTTCCACACATCCTGTTTATCAAGGTGCCCAGAAACATGACATAGTTGCAAAAGATACAGTTACATTACTATCCACATCTGCTGTAAGAAACAATGTAACATAAATGTGTCACACTTTGTTACAGAAAGTAACAATGGCTGAAATCTTGCAACACAATTATATTTACAATGGATGTACCGTATATGATGATTATGATGCCACCGTCCCATGATGTTCATCTTTAATTTAATTTCAAACCTCCTTTCCCCCCAACCCATCCCACTCTCTTTCCAAAGCTCCCTTGGGAGTCCCTTTTGCTCTAGGGAAGCCTTTGGGAGCCTTGGGATGGATATTTCAATATCAGAAATTCATCACTTGATGGTGGTGAGACTATTGGAGATGATTTTCTGGCATTAAAGGCTCTTTCCTCATCCTTGTTTTCAAAGGCTCCCCAATGCAGAAAAGATCTCTAGGGAGCCTCAGAACTTGAAGGGGGGCAATAGGAAGTTTGAAAATTTAAATAAAATAAGATCAACACTGCCAGGTGAAGACTGCATCATCATTTATGCAGTACTGTAGTGGATTTCAGCCAATGTTCATTGCATACTGGGTGGCCTCTCTCTTTTGCAAACATTGTATATCACTACCTCTTTCACTATAGCTTAAGAACAAATGTAAACAATGGAGGACAACGGAACTCACAAAATCTGGATTGTAGCAGATCATCACGAGACTCATGCGGAAATCCATCACCTGATTCTCCAGCATATCCACCCTGATCATCTCGTCCTCAGATTCACCACCTGCAACCAACACATGAGGATGAGATACTTTGGCAGACAGAAAACTGGTTCTGACCAGACAGCCTCGGCCCCAGAAGCCCTCTGGTATACTCACACATGTTATGCTTGCGTGCGATGTACCGGAGAATGGCATTACTTTGTGTTAGCTTGGTCTTGCCATCAATTAGGTAAGGAAGCTGGAAGTAAACAGAATGATTAGCTTAAGGCCAAATCCTTGCCTTGTGCTTACCGTACATTGTTAATGCCCTATTCATTCTATTCATAATTGTTCTTCAACCACTTCATCTCTCTTAAAGCCCATACGTGAATACCACGAGGAAGGCATTTTGTCCCCAGGCACCCAGAGCTCACAGCCAGCATGAGACAAATAAGGCTCTCACTGTGCATCTTATGATAAAAACAGTTACATACATTAGGGAAGTCTAGGCCCAACTTCTCTTTTTCGTTAGTCCATTGACTCTTGTCATAATCAGGAGCTGGAAAAAGAAGAGAAATTATATTCATGCACAAAAATATCATTCAAACACTATAACCCACACTTCACATAACCAGGAAAATCAACTTCAACAAATGTACAAATTCCTTGTCTATTCTGTAGCCAAGGTCCTGAGCCTAAATGAACTTGCAGAAGGACCTCACTCTTGTGGGAGGGAGTTCCAAAGTCTGGGACCAGCAACAGAGAAGGCCCTCTCCCGTGCCCCCCCCAACACACTTGTGAAGTGCCAGGACAGACAGAAAGGTCTCTCCTGATCATCTTATCACTCAAACAGGCTCATAAAGGGAGTTGCGGTCCTTGAGACAGCTTGGACCCAAGCTGATTAGGCTTCATAGGTTAAAACCAACACTTTGAAATCTGCCCGAGAACAGATTGGTAGCCAGTGGAGTTGCTGTGACTGAAGGATTTATTTATTTAGTTGATTAATATACTGCCCCTCTGGCAGCCAAGGCCACTCTGGCCAGTTATGTGATCCTTGTGACCAGCCCCAGTTAGAAATATGGCTGCTATGCTTTGGACCTGCTTAAGTTTCCAGACACTTTCCAGAGACAGCCCCACATACAGCGTGTTACAGTAATCCAGCCAGGATGCAACTAATGCATGCATCACTGTGATCACATCAGACCTCTGCAGAAACAGGTGCAGCTCATGCTCTATCTTTAATTGTGCAAATGCACTCCTGGCCACCACCAAAACCGGGGCATCCAGGCTTAGAGACAAATCCAGGAGTACCTCCAAGCTGAGTTTTCAGAGGGTGTGAAACCTCATCCAGCACAGGCCATGGCCCCTGTGCCTTGATCTGCCTTCTGACTAACCAGGACCACCTCAGTCTTGTCTGGATTAAATTTTAGTTTATTCGCCTTCATCCTGTCCGTTATTGACACTAGACACTGATCTAAAGCCAAAAGAACTTCCTCAGATTTAGATAGCAACCAGGGATAAGAGCTGGGTGTCATCCGCATACTGGTGACACCAAACTGAAAACTTCCACCCACAGAAGAATGTCAGAATGTTTTTTGGGGGTTTTTTTTTGGAACAGTTATTCTATGGCCTAATTTTGCATTCAGACCACCAAGGCTCCAAGAGAATAACTTGGCAAGACAGTAGCATATGAAGAGACAAGCAGGATCTGAATGGTGAAACTTATGACAAAGCCTCTATTGTGCTCTCTTACTAGGGTCACTCTGTACAGTCCCTAACTATCTGATTTTCAGTACAGGAAGTGACTGATGTCATATGCTTTCAGACTAAAACACCCTGCATCAAGAAGTGCTTTTTGCTCACTCCTTCAGCAATACAACTACAATAGTCTACTGTTGGAAATACACTGCCACTATATCCAGCACCAGGACTAGAGAACATAAGGAATATGTTGAACATTATGTGACTATGGTGATTACCGGCAAATTTCATCATTATGTGATTTGGGTTCTTATTGATATTATTATGTTACTCTTCCAAAACTGATCACATTGGGAGATGTGAATTTTGCAATATGATATTTATACAGTACTAATTGTTTTAACACATACACAACACCTCTAACTCTTCCTTGTTACATCCCATATGTTTTACGCTTTTGGAACCTTTAAAGGGACTTAAATTTCAAGTAAAAATTTCCCATGTTCCCCTACTGTACAAAGGGACTCTTGGACCACTTCACCCAATTTATTTCAAGAAAAGCATGCAAATGAAACAGCAGCCCTCTTTCCCCTGGCAAGTAAGCTGTTCTCCATCCTGCACAATAAGATAAAGCTTGCCCAACATACTTGTGGATAAAATCACATTCAGCACATTGAACTGGGAATTGACAGAAACACTAGAGGAGAAACAGATTTTCTAATCCTCTGAGAAGGCCCATTAGGATGGTTGGATTCCAGGAATGGATGAGAACATATGACCCAACGAAAATTGTCAGAATGCAAATTCTGCCCTCAAATCAGCCCTAGCTAGCATACCAAATGGTGAAGGAAGAAGGAAGTTATAGTCTCACAGCATCTGAGGGCTCTCCTTTCCCAATCCTTGATTACATCATTTCTAAAATGCTTCCTTTATCCAGCTGTGTTCCCACCTTTCCTTACGGGAATCCAAATTCTATGCAAATACATTAAGTAAATGTTGCATTATTTATTACATTTCTGCCAGTTAAGGCGTGCAATGATGCAAGATACTACAGCCCTGGGCACTGAAATTATTAGCTCTCGAACTCTATTCTTAGCTCTCGAACTCCAACTGAATTTAATCAAACAGGCACAGCCCATTTATCTGCAGTCAGAAACTTGGTTCCCTCACTTGTAAAAGAGAAGGAAAGTGTATCAAGTAGGAGAACAGCAAAGGTTTACACCATGCTAAATTCTGCCTCTTTTCCACTCTTGAACAGAACAAGACACATATAACGCTAGGAATACTCTCTCAAATGGCATCTGGTAGATGGTATGGGCCAGAATCCTATTGGTTAGTTACACAGAACTCAAGTGCAGTGGCATGAAAGACAGTAGCTACTGCAAGTTAATTAGTTGCCACTTGTATTTCTTCTTGTTCACAACTCAAGCAACAGGCACAAAACAAAGGATGCAAGTGGGCTCTCTGCTGCTACAATTAACACCACTGCACATGCATCAACCCAACTAACCAACAGTAAATCCTCTCCACGATTTCTTCCAAAGAAAGGTGTAGGAGTGTGTGTGTAGACATACAGACATCAATACATACTGAAACCAATAGTCTTAAATATTAATTTCCAGAATTATACCTTTCTCTGCTGCATAAATACATATTATATGGATAGCACAGGTCCAAAGTCAAAATTTTACTACCATCCACCATATTTTGTATGCTTTCAAATTCAGTATACAAGTTGATAATTGTTGTAGAACATAGCCTTGGGTATTTAAAAAGTGACCTTGGCTCAACATAAACATATGGCATACGTTTTCTCTGCCTACTATTGTTTAGAATGCCTATATTTTAACTGGCTACAAGATACCAGGAAATTATGAACATAAGCACCAGCTTATACTCATTCTAGAAAAGGGGATGGGGGAGAGAAAAGGATTTTGGACTAAGTTCGGCAATATATACCTTCCCCACAGCTGTATAACTTATCTTCATAAGGTGTTCCTGTATATTCTAGTAGCAACCGGATGCTATGAGCAAGCTGCAAAGAAAAAAAGAACATAACTATTATAAGAAACCAACACACAGTGATGCAAGATTAACTACCATTAAATGTTGTTTCAAAATTACGGTCTGTTCTATTCATGTGCAATCCTTTTGCACAAATACCCACATATATAAAAACATACTTATAAGCAATATTTATAAACAATCAAAAAAGAGAGTGGTTGATATTTCTATTTCACATTTTAAAAACTGAATTTCCTGACACATCTAGACTGGCAAACAAAATATAAAACCAGACATAATTAAACCAGAAAGAAAAACCATTTGAAGCAGATTCAATAGCAAGCAACAGGCCAGATGTCATTTAAGAAATAGAAACCTTGATACAGAACACACCTCCATGAGACTTGTACAGTTATCAATTATTATACAATAGGTACTACAACTTCATTATCATGGAGTTTAAAATTTACTGCCTAAACAAATCATAGGCCAGAAATAAAAGAAATGAAATAGGAGAGGCAGAAAGTAAAATAATATTTTTCATAACATGAGGGGGGAGTGGTAGACCTCTGATAAACTTTTTTAAGACCAAAGATTTAGTATCCAAAAAGATCCACTTACAATTCTTGACTTTCTCTTGATTTACAAGGAATTATTATGAAGCATGAATTATGAGAAAAGTCAGTGATGCCATATACAAGCTTGTGCTACCTATGCATCTACTACACATAAAGTGAAGAATGAAATGTCCCTGATGATAAGAAGTGTGCTGAGTTTTAAACCTCCATAATTCTCTTCTACATTAGTGTCAAATAAGAGTGAGAACCTTTAATGGTATTAAGGGCTTTTGACCCATGAAGGAGCACAAACTAGGGGCCACAGATGTACTGATTGGCTGATTAGTAAAGTTAATTAATGATATTATGAATTCCTAATTGCCACAACTAAAATCTTGCAGCACCTAGGAATGTGCTTGATGCTTTTGCTACTAAGGTAGGAATCCACTAACAAAAAGGAATCCTATAAAATTATCCCTAGGGAAAGGAGGGACTTAGGCAAAGACACATCCCTGATCCTTCTGTGGGGAATATTTATACAGTAGCAGGAAAGGCTTAAAGGAGCAGCAGGCCTTTATATACCGAGCAACAGAAAACACAAATGTACAAATATGTACTCATGTTCTGCTGGTATGTTTCCTGTAAGTAACTGGCTGACCACTGTATGAGCAGAACACTGAATCAGAGAGGACTTTAGGCTGGATCCAGCAGGGCTCCTAGGATGCTCAGAACATCTTTCAGCAACAGTGGCAGACTGCTTGCTCTCCTTAGCGGGGGGCCCTCGAGAAGGAGCTGCCCAGTAATGTGCTGGACAGAATTATGCATGGAACAACATCCAGCCCTTCAGACCAAGGTTCCCCATGAGCACTTTCAAACCGAAGGATTCAGTGCCAGAGTTCTGCTGGAAGAACAATGGAATCCAGCTGAAAGAGGAGGAAGTACGCCCCTCTTCACCATCTCTGCATGCTCCCCAAAAACTTGTTTCAGAGGACTGTGAAACCCTTTGGGTCCCTTCTGGGAAGCTCCTAAGATTGCAAGGAGTGGTGGTTGGAGGATGTTTGATCATTACCAGTGCAAAGTTGGATGTAAGCCAGCATTAGATATTGCAAGGAAAGAGGCATGCAAGTCTGAATGCAACGCAGGTGTTTTTTGGACAATGAGAGAGCAACACTACTAAAGCAACAGTTATCCATGGGTTACAAAAGCCTAGCTGCCCCACACCCAGAGACCACTAGTCCAGCTAACCCAGTATTGTTAACTTTGACTGGCAGCAGATCTCAGAGTCTTCAGGCAGGACTGTTTCCTAGCCTTACCTAGAGAAGTATGGGGTTAAATCTAGGATTTTTGGCATGCAAAGCACATGCTCCACCACTGAGCTACAACCACCCACATAGAGATTCTGGAGTTTTCACTAACTTTATTTATACATGACCTTTGGTATAAAACAAAGAAGATCCATTATCCTCTATTACCAAAGCTTTTGTCTTAGGAACGGAAGCCCTTAATCAGGCAAAAACAAGTAAAATTAAAAAGGACAAAAGACAAAAACATTGTGGCACCCTAAAAGCTAACTGCTATATTTTAATGTGGGCTTTTGCAGAAAAGCTCTTGTGTGCCTGCTGTCACTTCCTTTCTGCTCTTATCTACAACCTTTTCCAAAAAAATTTGTTAAGTCATTCTTGCTAGGAGTATCATACCAGGAGGCTGGGGAGTCTTTGGGGCCAAGTCCCAAGTCCATGTCCTAATCTTTGGTTCAGAGTGCCAAGCCCCAGTTCAAAGTCCATATAAAAAGAAGCCCCCTAAAAAGGGAGGAGGTAGGTGAGTTCCAAGTTGCTAGTTGAGTCTGGGTCATTGAAAAGTTTTTTAAAAACCGAGTCAAGTCACTGGAGGGACTTAAGTCTGACTTGGCAGCAAGTCCCCTGACTTGAGTCCCCACCCCTGTATCATACTGCTCCTTAAGCCTCCCCCTCCCCATACACAGGGGCATGGTCACCCTCCAAAACGTACGAAATCATGAGCCACTTCTTAACAACTCCTCTTTATGAGATGAAATTATATACCACACTCATCTGAACACCCAGACACTTTTATATTGGTGTGTTGTCACATACTGTAATCCAGTATGGATCCAGTATCCATCTCTGGTTGCTTTTAAAGAAACATTACAATACACTTGCTTGGCCTAATTAATAAGATTGTTTTGGTGTTTGCTGCCACAAAATGTTTGAAACTGGATTTTAACTGGCTTACATCCATGTTTTTTCAAAAAATATCTAACTTTTCCTGAAGGATGACAAGAGCCTTGAACTAATGGCTAAGAACTAGATAAAATAGTGTGTTACTAATGTATGATCTCAATATGCTGTCTCATATCCATCCATCCATCCATCCATCCGAAAGGCCAGAGGATGCCTTTCTTATATGAGAGACAGCATATCATACCCACCAGAAAGAAACCTCTACAAAAGAAAGAAAACGTACCCTCCTCAGAAGGCATCCTCCGGCCTTTCTTTTTGGAGGGCCGGCGGGAAGACGCCTGAAGCGAAATGGCAGAGTTTCGCACAAAGGGGAATTACCGGCTCTTCTTGTTCGACTTAGGTGGAATAAAGCTCCCCTTTTACAGCAGGGTTTTAGACGCCTGCCCTGAGAACAAAGTCGCAACTGTGTTCCGCAGGGCTGGCAGCACCCACCAAGCCGAGGCGGGCAGGGTGGCCTCCGAAGGCCCAGGGCAAGAGCGCGAAGCCCGGCCAGGGTTGGCAAAGGAGGCAGCGGCGGACCCTCGCCGGCCAGCAAACGCGCCGAGCGGCTCGCCCGGGACAAAGAGCGCCGGGATGCAAGCGAGGCAGTCCGCTGGGACCAAGCTCTGGCGCGGCCCCACCGGCTCCCGCGGGCCGAGAACCGTTCGGCGCAAGAAAGGCAAGGCAAGGCCACCCCAAAAGCGCCGGGGTTCCCCCGAGAGCCTGCGAGCTCCCGAAGGCAGCGGGCTCAAAGAGGCGGGCCCGTCCACCATGACCCACGGCGCGCCTTCCCGCCCAGGGCTGAGGGGTCCTGTCCCGCCGGGGGCTGCAGGCGGCTCACAACGCCTCGACCTCAGGCGCTCCTCAAGCCTTCGGGCTGGGAGAGGCAGCCGAGCTGACCCGGGCGAGAGGGGCAGGAACCTGCCGCCAGCTACCGCGTCCACGCCCCCTTTCCCAGAGAGGCCGCTCGGGAACTTCTGCTGCTCGGGTGGGCCAAGCCTCGTCCCCGTCCCGCGAGAGGCTTGCTAGCCTCGCTTTTGGGCACCGCTTAGGGGGGCCCCGGGAAGCTAAAGGGGCGGCCTGGTCTCGGCGGGGCGGCGCGCCCCCCTCCCAGGTGCCCCAGCCGAAGCGGGGGGGGGGCGCGGAGAACGCGGACTCCGACCCCTTTTTGTGGGCAATTAGGACTCACCCCTCTAATATCCCAATAGCCCAGAATCATCGCCATGGTGCCCTCGGAGCCTTCTGAAGTCTCGCAACGCGCGCTCTCCCTCTCTCTCCCACTCGTCTCCTTACACCAAAGGCAGCGGCAATCGCAGAAACCTCGTGGGAGGGCCTTAAGAAGCGGTCGCGGGCCTCTGCGAGGGGGGGGCGGCGGGGCGGCGGCAAGGATTCGTTTTAATATTTAAAGGCCCAGCGCCGCATTTTTCTTTCTTCCGAAAGGGGGGCGGGGCAGGGAGCACAGTTTGGAAAGCTGCCCGCGAGTGGAATTAAAACGGCCCACCCACCGCGCGGCCCTGATTCCCCCCCCCAACGGGGCCGAGAGAACAGCTTTTTACTCAAAGTGGACAAGCCATCCTGGGGCAAGTGAAACATTAACGTGGCCCCTTTGATGTTGGAATGTGTACAACTGCACAATCAAATTGGGCAGTGCAAGGAGCTTGGGCGAGAGGCTCTTTGGACTTTGCTTAAACCGTGAAAAGGCGGAGACTCTGAGCTCTCCTTTCGAACAGCGGCGCGTCTGCGCTACCGTTAATCATTATGTAGATCAGGGTATTTGGGGCGCCAGTTCAGTCAGTCCCTTAGGATATTCCGTAGTGGTAGTTTTAGAAACGGTAGCCGTGCTGGTCGGTGCCAGCATGAGGTAAAAACGAGATAACAACGAGAATAAAGAAGAGAAAAACCTTGTGGCACCTTAAAAGACTAACCTGAAGCTACTTCAAAATATAGCAGTTAGTCTTTAAGGTGCCACAACGTTTGTGTCGTCTTTATTTTGGTTTTTGCCTACTTGACAAGGTTGGCCAAATAGCCTGGCAAGGATGGACACGGAGAGGCGGTGCGGGCTGCAAAAGGAAGTGGCTGCGGTCTGCGAAGCCGAGGCGAAAGGAAACTGCAATGTGTTCACGTTCCAAGAGATTCACGTTGGTTTTGCTGCGAGAAATTCTGTATTAAATTATGTTGAGCCCCATTTAACTATGCCATCCCCTTGAATTACGCTCAAGGAGAGACTACAGAGGAAAGGAGAAGAAGAAAGTCCTCAGCATAAAGTCAGGACCCTAACTAGAGGTTTTGGCCCACCTGGCAAGCAGTGCAAAGTGCCCTCCCAAATCTACTTCGTACTACCTGATGTGAACAATCATGTAAGGATTAATTATAACAGGATCCCCCCTTGCCATGCATCTCCCATCTTCCACAGGAAATCAGCAGTACAGTCAGAGCTCCAGAAAGAAATCTGAAGTATTATGTTCAGCACATGGATACAGATTGTTTAGCATATCATATTTTTCCCAGTCCAAAAGCTTGGTCTACTTTGGAGCAGTAGGTCTGCTGTCCCACGGGGGAGGCCTGATCTACCCACAGGATCCAGATAGACCAGCCCTCCTTGTCAAGTCTGAGGTTTGGTCTCTTTTCCTATGGGATGGATCTGCCCACGACTGCCTCCAGAGATTTTTTTCCAGTCTACAGTGGTCTGGTTTACAGGCCATGTGGCCTATCCAAAATTGACCAAGTTCACCTTGAAGGTTCTTCCCTTCTGATGCCAGACCAAGCTGGTGGGCCAAATCTGGCACCCTGGGGCAAAGTTCTGTTCGGCTGTTGTTACACCCTCATTACAGACCTGCACAAGGTTTTAAATATTGTAATGCCCAGAATTTGTGAAGACTGCCACATAAAAACTGCAGCTGCAGCTGTTCCATTTTTCTTCTCTCAGCCAATCCCTATCCCATTTCCATCACATATAGCATGGGTGTGTGTGCATGGGATGATGCAATGCAATGCAAAAAATAAATTCCTCAGGCATTTCTCCCTGCCTGGAGCATGAAACAAACAACATCAACTAATGAAATAGCAATCTGCTTCTCTTTTGAGACGCCCATTATTTGCTGCTCAAGGTAGTTGCCTCATTTGGTCTGGCCTGGCCAAAATGTTATAATCTCTATAGAATTAACAGTTACGCAACAGAACAGAGTTGAGTCTGAAGGGTGCCTCAGAGATCCTCTTCTCCAATCATCAACTCAATCTTCTGGATTTCTGGTTAAATCAAAAGCGGGGTCAGGGAGAAAACTGAAGAAGCAAGAACTAGTGTGACACATTTAGTTTGGCAGAAATCCTTTGGCAGGGAAATCTGTACTTGAGAGCCCTGGAAAACTAGGCCTTCATATGATTGAGAAAAAGACCCACATTTTTTTTAAAAGGATATATGTTAGTCCCTCTTCTACTAATCCAACAGCTGGGAAAATGTGTCCAACAGATGTTGTTGGGCTGCAACTGCCATAAATCCAGGCCAGGATAGCCTCAGGCTACAAGTTTTGGAAGAAATTGAAACTCTGGAAGCATCTTTAATCATGCATAAAATTTGAACAAGAAAGTATCCTTTGGTTGTTAAACAGTAAACCTCCACACGTAATCTGTAATTTGTAAATATATACAAATGCTGGTGGTTGGATTCCAAAAGATCTCCTGCATGAAGTATTAGTGCAGGGAAATTGCCCCAGTAGGGAGACCACAGCTGCGATACAAGGATATCTGCAAGCGGGATCTGAAGGCCTTAGGAATGGACCTCAACAGATGGGAAACCTTGACGTCTGAGTGTTCAGCCTGGAGGTAGGCGGTGCAGCATGGCCTCTTCCAATTTGAAGACACACTTATTCAGCAGGCCAAGGCAAAGAGGCAGTCCCGGAAGCAGCAAAATCAGGGAGCTGGACAGGGGACAGATTGTATTTGTCTTCAGTGTGGAAGGGATTGTCACTCTCGAATTAGCCTTCTCAGCCACACTAGATGCTGTTCCAAGACCTCCATACAGAGCACATTACCATAGTCTCTTGAGACTGAAGGATGCCTACTACTACTACTATACAAAGCGTGTAAAATGTCATGAGCCTCCCTGTTCAGACTGAAATGTTAGAAAGTTCTCTCTGTTCAGAGGACTGAACAGCAAGTAATGCTAATATTCTTGATTACTTCTGGTCTAAGGATCGAATTACATGGAGCATATACAGTATGTCAATTTTAAATTTCTTTTGATATAAAATAAGGTTTTTCACTTTCCCTAGTAGAGTGCAGCTGGCCAGTTCATCAAGATGTGATGCTGTAGGATTCACATGCCTATAAATCTTCCCCTGTACCACTGGCACTGAAGAAGAGTATTTCCCACATTATACATGGTAGGAAGCTGCAGTCAACACTCCTACGTCATACTGGCCATGATGTGCACATTTATTCAGCACAGTCCTCTTATCTCCACTTACAGCTCTCATGAAAATTTATGGACACCCCATTTTCTCAGCAATCTACTGCAGGGATGCCTACACCACATTTTATTTCAATATTTTGAGACTTAAGCAACTGAGCTGTTTCTTATAGACTCATACCACATTCTGAGCCTTTGCCATTTTAAAAAATATTAGTTTCTTTGGAGAGTATTTATTTGTTAATTATAGACCTTCAGCACACATGCTCACACACTTCTAGTATTTCATCTCTTTGTGTTGCATGGCCTAAATCCAAGAGCTAGTCCCAACTAGAGTAGATCTGCTGAATGTTTAAAAGGACATCCCTTTAAACTGACATTGAGATCCACCTTTGCTGCTGTGTGGATCAGATTCTATACCTGTTTGTTTCCTGCAATATTGCTTCTTTCCCGTCAGAAGCTAGAAAAACAGGTTCAGCTTCCCAAGTAGCCCCTCCAAGTCGCTAGGTTTCTGTTTGTCCTGCAAGGAGAGACTGCTGATCCACATAGCAGCTGAGTAACATACTGTACATGGTTTCAATTCCACCCACCCAACTGCAGTTTCCCAACAAGTGCCCATTTCAAGGTATCTTTGTTTCTGCCTGTCCCCAAACATTCAGCACTAATTGTGAGGAAAGGATTTTAGTTTCCTTCAGATTCCAGTAACATCCAAATAATGATTTGTTAACTGTGACATACCTACCCATTCTCTATATTTACCCCAAAATAATGTTCAACTCTTCTGCCAAATTCCTAGTCTGGCCCAATTCAGAAGGATGACTTCAACTGCCAAAAATTAAAATACGTGTGGTCGCACCATCTTCTCAAAGCCATTTGAAACTCCATGATTTGCTTCTCAGCTGTACAGTATCCTTCCCACTTTCACTACCTGAGGCAACATGACAGAGAAGGACCCAAATCCTTTTTGCAACTTTATGCATGTAGCTCAAAGGTTATGTGCACGGCAGTTGTGCTACTGCCAAGGCTGAAGTGCTACCCCTGAAGCACGTATCCTGGTGCATTGTGCAGTTGGTTGTGCCAGGAATGCACAACCAATTGTGCAGTTCCAGGATACTGGCCAAGGTAAAATTCCCTGGCAACTGTACTTCTTAATTTCAAGCTGAAATGATTACTAATGTGAAAAAAGCCCACTAATATGTCTTATGCTTCTGTGCAATGTACTGCAGGATGGTCTTGCACTGTGTAATTTTTCTTTTGCTGTCAGTTTGATATGGGAACTAGGGAAAGAGAATGGAAGATTCCAAATTCTTTCATTATCTAGTCATCCTCAATTAACTATTTCCAACTTACTTCAGAGAAAGAGTTATGTGCAGTTAAATCAGAATTGACTTATAGTGACCCTAACTGGGCT